ATGTCTAAAACTAATTCAACAAACCTTTACAACAGGGTTTGATAACGTCGGGCACCGGTATAGTAATGTTCATTCCCTGTGGTATTTGCTCCAAATAGTCTTCGAACAAATAGGAAAACTCTTTGAACTCGGTTTTAATCATTTCGATGAATTCTGTGGCGTTAACTGTTCCCAAATTGCACGCCTTCTGGAGTGGACCGATATTGCAGTACTTATTGCCCAAATAATTGGTATACAGATTATACACACTTCGACCCAAATTATAATTTGGCAAAAATATACTGAACGACATGTCGAGCGTACGGGCGGTGTCTTTGAGATTGAGAAGCGGCAGTTCCGCCACCACTACTGTTATGAATGTTCCGATTCCTATGATTATGTTGTAGAGACAGATGCGGACGTATGCAGTGGAGGGCACGTCAAACGAAAACGACATGAGATATACGAGCGGTAATAGAGACCAGCCGTGGGCTGAGAAGACGGCAAAGAGTCGATACTGTTGTTCAAACGATTTGAGCGGTTCCTGTTTGAACGCCATATACATAAACATCACTCCCAGACACGCGATTATATAGATGAGGAAATCCCATATGAATGATGTGATCCAAAACAGATACAGTTTCACACCGCAAACCTGTTGCAGATGTTTGCCTTTAATTGCCTTCTCTTTGACCAAAAGTACGGCAAAACTCGCCGCCAGGAAAGACATGCTGAACATGAGATTTTGGGACAACTGGAACTGTTCGGGTGACGCGTACTGCACCTGAAGCAGTTTGTCCGCAGTGGTCAGCGGCAACGGATGATTACTCACTTCCACCTTATAGTTGGCATTTGACGACATGTATCGGACGATAGCCGAGTCAATCGACGCCAAACTTATGGCCACCGAATGGAAGGGTTGGTTATTGAAGAGTCCGGTGACGACGAGTCCGTCTTCGCTGATGCTATCGGAACACATCTCGTTCTCATTGCTGCAAATGATGGCACCGATAGGCATATGAAGGTTAAAATATGCGATATTATCCTTCGACTCTTTCAACATATATCCGATCATAGATTCCGTCAGATTTGTTGAGTTAAACGTGTGTTCAAAGACTCGATTCTTGGCACCGAATTGAAGGCTATAGGCGTCCCTCATATCGATCACATCCGGATCGGTGCTGTTGTTCATAAAGTATGGCACATCTGTTCCCTTGTAATTGTCTAAATTCAAGGCGAGTGCTGGCGATTCGCCCAATCGCGGCAAAGTCTTGAGCATTATTAAAACGGTTACCGCAAAATACAATGGGATTACGAGTTGCGATAGAGTTAGCGTCCGATTTCGCAGTGAATACAACACTTTCTTCAACAAAAGAGCGTAAAATTGTTGGCCGATTAAAGTATAGCCAGTGTTTCGCTCTTCGTCTGTCATATTCAGATTCAAAGAGACCTCATCCTTATTAGTGAGATTTGCGTTGTCTTTCAGTGCTTTCATGCCTTCCTCCGCATATTCGCCGACTCTGTAATACAAATGTAAATTTAGGTCAAATTATTCCACAAAAAGCAGATTAATTTATGAAATACTTGAGAAAGACTTCTTCCATTGTAGTGATGGAAATGCCAAAGCTATCGATGCCTAACATCTCTTTCTGGAGTTCAATATTAGTGAAAAGTGCCTCAAATTTGCCGCTTTGATGATTAGGCAAATGGTATGTAATTTCAGTGCCGGCAGAGCTGTCAAACTTGGCGTCATTTATATGGGATTGGATGAGGTGTGTAATGGCCGCCGAGTCGGTCGCGTCGCTGGCCTTAACAATTATCATCCGATATCCGGAGCCATACTTTTTCTTGAGAAATAGCGGAGAACCGCTGCACTGCAACTGTCCGTTTGCCATAATCGCTATTCTCTCGCCCAACATCTGCCAACATATCAAACCATTTTAGAGATTATTTTAATTAAAAGGTCTGTCTTCGCGGGTGGACTCACATCTGCCTCTTCCATAAAGTGTGTGGACAAGAGAATCGTNATAATAGCTATCCTCTCGCCCAACATCTGCCAACATATCAAACCATTTTAGAGATTATTTTAATTAAAAGGTCTGTCTTCGCGGGTGGACTCACATCTGCCTCTTCCATAAAGTGTGTGGACAAGAGGATCGTTCGTTCGGTCTTCTCCTTTAAGAGCAGATCCCATATGAATCGTCGCGCGTGAACGTCCATTCCAGAGGTCGGTTCGTCCAGAATTACAATCTTTGACTTTCCAACCAAAGCGATGCCAACCTTTAGGTTAGAGTTTAATACAATTTCACTACAAATAAGAATTTTAGTCAACAAACCGAAAGTTTTCTCTTCTGTCCGCCGGACAGTGTTTTGGACGCCTTATTGGTCTTCTCTTCGAGTCCCAGCAATTGTATCATATATTTGATTTCATCGGCAATTTCTTCGCGATTAAAGTTCTTGAGCTCACAGTAGAAGGTCAGGTGCTCTTTAACTGTCAGCTCATCAAACAGGACATCAAACTGCGGACATATGCCTAAACTCGACCTAACCTTATCCATGTCGGTGCGAATGTCGTGTCCATTAACTAATGCCGTTCCGTCAGATGGAGGGAAAAGTCAATAATCGCTATTCTCTCGCCCAACATCTGCCAACATATCAAACCATTTTAGAGATTATTTTAATTAAAAGGTCTGTCTTCGCGGGTGGACTCACATCTGCCTCTTCCATAAAGTGTGTGGACAAGAGAATCGTTCGTTCGGTCTTCTCCTTTAAGAGCAGATCCCATATGAACCGTCGCGCGTGAACGTCCATTCCAGAAGTCGGTTCGTCCAAAATTACAATCTTTGACTTTCCAACCAAAGCGATGCCAACCTTTAGGTTAGAGTTTAATACAATTTCACCGCAAATAAGGATTTTAGTGAACAAACCGAAAGTTTTCTCTTCTGTCCGCCGGACAGTGTTTTGGACGCCTTATTGGTCTTCTCTTCGAGTCCCAGCAATTGTATCATATATTTGATTTCATCGGCAATTTCTTCGCGATTGAAGTTCTTGAGCTCACAGTAGAAGGTCAGGTGTTCTTTGACTGTCAGCTCATCAAACAGGACATCAAACTGCGGACATATGCCTAAACTCGACCTAACCTTATCCATGTCGGTGCGAATGTCGTGTCCATTAACTAATGCCGTTCCGTCAGATGGAGGGAAAAGTCCAGTCAAAATGGACATCGTGGTCGTTTTGCCTAAAATCACATTTCCATACAACAGTTACATTCAATTCACACGATATACTCTACAAATTGAATACCCGCGCCGTTGTGTCCCAAGAGGGCTGTGATCTGACCCCTGTATGCATTCAAACTCAAATCCCGGACAACATTTTTCTTGCCGTCAAATGTCTTCCAAAGATGTGATATACGAATACCGCTCTTCAGAGACGTCGGCTCCTTCTCGAAGAAGTCGTTGTTGTCGACCGTGTCGTCCGCGTGATAGCCATTGAGCTGAAGCTTCTCCTCTTTGACGGACTCGTTGTGTCCAAACCAATAGCTTTTTGTGAGCGGGAAATACCACTTAAGCGGTACCCCATATTCGCCGGGAAACGCCGACTCGATGTAGAATGTCATCAATAAGTAGATGAAAGTGTCCGCATAAAACATAACCATCACGTGAAATATGGTTAGCGTGTCGTCGGGTGAGGCGGGAACGTTCAGGTTTGACCACTGGATCCCAACACTGTTTCCCTCCCACATCGCTATTATCATTGATCCCATCGCGAGACCAGAATTGCACGACAGACACGACATCAACTTCTGTGGGAATCCTAAATCGCTGTTAGATTTGGAATTTTAAAAAATTTAATTAATGTTTAGTTTACGAAAATATAATCAATTAAATTGAATCAATTTTACCGATAACGAGGAAAGAAGAAAAAGTATGGCATGAATGCCATGAAATAAAGAACTCCGCCCCCAATCGCCGCTACATTTGCCTATAAATGACAAACAAATCCAATCTATTGTATATATTTTTAAGCAAACATTTAGACAGAACTTACTTTTGAAAAGAAAGTACTCATAAGAAAACAAAAAGCGATACAACTAATGGAATAACTGACGAAAAACAGGTAAATAAGAAGACCGTCGCTTGAGTTCAATATTCCGACGCCTTCTTTGATACTAATTGTGAGCAAAATCGTGAGAAGAGCTGAACTGAGAGCCAACCAGAAAATTGATTTAATAAACCAAGCCGTCCAATGCAACCAATTCTGTAAACCCATCATTTTCATCGACTCTTTAAGCCTCTTCTCCTTCTCAATGACTATATTTTTAGTCAAATTGACGGCCGGATAGATATAACTCAACATTAATATTATGGGGAATAGGAATTGAAGCGCTAATAGGAATATGTCTTCAATATATGGCGGATACGGAAAGCGTTGCAACTGAACCATCACCTCGTCGTCAATGTTGTCGGAACTGCTGGTTATATGACTGGCGGCTGACATAGCGATGGCGTGCTGTACGGCCAGAAAGCCCTCCTCGTAATAGCCAGGTATACCTCCCGTCTCCTGTTGTGACTGTCGGGGACCGGGAGTCGAGAACAACGGGAAAGTGAATTGCGTCCACCAATTCCTTATGGGTCGCAAGCGATCCCTTTTCGTGAACTTCGGTGTCGACGGAAATCTGAGCTTATATTTCAAATGATTGTCTAATTCTTCCTCGTCTTCGAAGACAATTCCGCAAAGGATTAGGTTTTGTGAATACGTTTCCTGTCTATTATAATACGATATCATATCTGTTTCGTTGGCAAACGCTTGAACTGTTGGACAGTAATTATAAGACAAATGTTGTTATTTTTATATGTCATGCCATAAATGCAATGCAATTAAATCTATGCAGTGATACAAGAGTAAAGTAAACAAGTCTTATTCGCGCTGTAACTTAAATGTATCTCAAAATCAATAATACAGTAGTTATTAATAATTGCATATAAGATGTGAACGCAATCTTCAGACTATAAGAAGCTCTAAAATATGAGATAAAATCAATATTTCCGAGTCCTTCATAAATCTTTAGACTAAAAATCAATTTTATGAATTGTTTTAGGATTATATAAACCGCAATATTCTTCATATAGTTTTACAATAAATGTTAATTTAAAAACATTTTTATTTCAACGATTATATATTAAAAATTTGAGCTTTAAAACGGTATAATGATTACAAAATCGATTTAAAAAACGAATGCAATACAGTATACAATTAATATGATCTTAACCTCTAATTCTTGCGAAACAAATAGGTTTACTGTAAACGATCACAGAATACACTAATTTGTTAGTGCATTATATATAGCATAAGTGTTACTAAATTAGTTTATTATTACGCAAATACACTAAAAGCATGCAATCTTTTATTTCATATTCATTATTCATACCCTAATAACATGAGTATATTATTTGTGTAAAATAAGTAAAACATAATATAATTTGTATGCTTTTATTGTAACATTAGTTTTATAGTAAATAATAATATTTGTATAAAATTCTAAAAACATTTAGTTTAAAAGTAAAATTAAAGCATTTGTTGTCAGTTTTGGTAATACTATTTGTTAAATTCAATTTAAATAATCAAGTTTAGCCTCTATTTCATGTATACAAAAACTATTCACAACTGTATAGATGTTGAAATTATTTTAAAAACTAGTAATTTAATAGTTTCTGTGAAACAAATTCTATAGAATTATATTAATGGCAATGAATTCAGGAGAAAGAATAAAATATAAAAAACTTTAAAGTAATATATTATTCTAATAAAATAATACACTAGTACCATTTTAGTGCACATAAATCAATATCTTATGCATAATAGAGATTGTTTTTTAGTTAATTACTTGAATATTTAATCAATGTTCACTGAAAAACAAAATCAAATTCATTTACAAACTACTAAACTGTATATTTTAGTAATAATTAATTACTCGTTAATTAATAAATACTCAAATAAATAATTAATTACTCATTAATAATGAAATAATTATGGTAAATGAGTTAATGAACTAACCGTTATAAGTGAGTGTTGGATTCATGATGGTCAGTTTTGCCTCCAATTTGTCCATTATATCGTTAATTCGGGTATCATTTGGCGAATACATGACAATCCATTGGGGAATGACTAACCCTTCGCCCACTTTCATCTCCGGTATGTTAAACACACCGAAGGGCTCGTATTGAGTGACGTTAGGATGTGGTGTGAAGTCGACTTTGAGTCGGACGGAGGCCAACATTGCCACAAACAGACACGGGATCAACAGCTCGGCGATCGTCACCACCGGATGTCTTATTTGTAACATATAATTCTTCCACA